GGGACTTCTCCTAATCATCGCACTCTGGCCCTGCACAAAGGCAAAAAGGCTGCTTAGACAATTTGAATTTGAATAGCATCTCTCCTCCCCCCCCCCCCCCCCCCCCGTGTCTCTCTCTTCCTCTTTCTCTGCCTCCGCTTCACGTCGGATGACAAAAGAGGAGCGAACAAAGATAGCACAGAAAGCAATCAGGCTAATAGCGCTAATAAGTTGAGCGTGGGGTCCTCGCTCTCAATGTTGACACATTTCACTGTTTCTGTGGCTAAACAGAGGCTCAAGTGTTTGGCAACCAGGCGGCATAGTATTTTAATGGAGTGGCTACCCCATGCCAGGTTGCCATGTGCTTAGTCTGTTTGACTGCGGAAGAATACAACAAAAGCAACTCAGAGAAGAGGTAGGGAGCAGATAATTAACTAGTGGAGAAGCCTGAAGGGAAGTATTCTGGGGGAAGGAAGGAGTCATCGGGGAGGGTTGAAGTTTTTGCTTTTTTTTTTTTTTCATGACTTTTTCTGGCTGAAAACAAAATCCTGCTGTCATCATGTTTCATTAATGCTAGCATGAGAAGACGCCATTTGCTTTCGCACCTATAGAAGGAAGCCAAGCTAACAGGAAGCCGATAAGTCGGCTTTTCGTTTACATCTCAAACTCTGCGACTCTGAAATATCTCCAGGGCTGTCGGGGTAAATCTTCGAACTGTCTGTGTTTGGTTTGGTTGTCTTTCAGGTGTCATCCGGCGAGGTCACGCTAACAAAGACATGCATGGTAAAAAGCTCATAGTCGCGGCGAGATCCAAGCTAAATCCCTCACCTGTCTGCTCCTATAGCGATCTGGGGACTCAACCCAAAAACGACTGCGCATTCCTCCCTCTCAATAGCCTTTCTTCCCCTTCCTCTTTCGGTCTTTCTTTTAAGAAGTCTGCTTGTTTGAACAAAGAAATATTTTAAGAGGCTTGTAACTGTGTGTGTGTGTGCGTGTGATTGTGTGTGTGTTGGATGAGGCCATAGGGACGAATGCCTCAGTGCCCTCCCCTGTTATTAGGCCTGCCCTGTCATTACGGGATTAAAGTGTAGGGGTTGGCTTTGCGCGTGCACGCTTGTGTGTGTGAGTGTGTGCATGTGCGCATGTATTTGCCTGCATATGATCTCCCCAAGCCTGTTTGCATTTCTGCACTTTTTCTCACACAATCAAAGTTCGCAGAGAAAACAAAACCGACCCCCCCCCCCCCCCCCCCACACACACACACACACACACACACACACACATACACACTCTCCATGTTTGTTATGCTAAGGTGCATTTGACCTCGTTCATAAATAACACTTTACTAAAGGATTCCTCAGGTTACTCAAACAGCGACTCTCTAATTGAATAGTCTTCGTAAGCGGTGGGAGGTTGAAAAACATTCCCCTGTACACCGCGCGTCACATCCATCACGGCGCAGCGTGAAAACACAAGCATAGATATAGAGATCGGCGAAGAAGAAGAGGAGGGGGGTGTAGAGGAAGAGCAAAACGACTAATGAAAAGAGGTCAAAGCTATCACTTCCGAGTGGAGGGAAGAAAGTCGTTGGAGAAAGTGAGTGATAAAAGGGGGGTTAGGTGAAGAGAAAGAGACGGAGAAAGTGAAACGATGGGGAGTTAGACCCGTCGTTTCGCAGGGATGATGAGAAAGAAATTGAAAATAAATGAGAAGAAAGTGAAGAGTGCGTGCGAGGAAGATGGATTAAACAGCCTTGTGCATCTGTGTATCCTGATCCTGCGCTACCTCCCACATCTGCATGCTTCACTCTCACTCTGTGTGTGTGTGTGTGTGTGTGTGTGTGTTTTACGGCAGTAAATTTGCATGTCCATTTGCCTGATTTACTCTTTCGCCCCCCCCCCTTGTTGGACACGAGCATCTGTCACACACTTTTACAACATGACTGCTCTGAAACCAACAGGCATACCCACACACACACACACACACACACACCACTTTTTTACTCCCCCCCCCCCCCCCCCCCCTTCTTTACAACCTACAATCTTTCCCTTTCTCATTTTACACTTCCAGGATTTGAGAAAGTGAAGTGAAACGTATGGAGCTAAAAGGCAAACGAGAACACTGTCTGTGTGCAGGGGAGGATCTCATAGCCGCACAATGGCTGTTTCTCCCTCAACTCGTCCTTCTGGTTTTCCCTCCATTTATTTTTCTTTTTTCTCCTCTCTTGACCGGGCCCATTAGGCAAGCTGCCAGCATGGTCTTAGAAGCTTTCGGAGGTTGTTTTGCTTAAAAAAAAATACCTTTCTCTCTTTAATCTGTCTTACTCTGCCTCTCTCTCATCCTTTATCATCTGTATAGCACGAGTTTCTCGGTTTGGCAGACAGAAACGGTTGCTTTGTGTGTGGGCATATAGTACTTTGTTTTGTTGTCTTTATTCTGTGTGTGTGTGTGTGTGTGTGTGTGTATTTTCTGTTACTGAACGGTCATGAATATTGCACACACAAACATGGTGCGCAGAGACAAATGTGCACAACTGCCACACACATGCACATGCACATGCGCACACACACACACACACACACACACACACACACACACACACAGAGGGAGCGGCAGGGTTAGGTCGGGGTCATTCCGTGCTTTTGCTCTGGCCCATTGACTCCGGATTGGTGCTCCACTTTGGGCACAATACAGAGCTTTGCACCAAACACACACACACAATTACACTCCTACATAGACATGCATACACACATTCATACACACACACACAAACTGCATGAGGTTAAACAATGCAGATCCATCGAGAAGGGAAGGGTTACTGCTGCACACGCACTCTCGAATGATCCACTGTCTAAACCACTGAGTCAGACGGCACATCTGTGTGTGTGTGTTTTGCATATTTCTCTTTCTGCTCTCCAGCTCTGGTTCTTTCTCTCTCATCTCTGTCTCCCCCCCCCCTCGTTGGCTCTCCCCATATGTCATTGTGTTTCACCGTGTTGTCATTTTCAGCAAGGTCAGCTCTAATGACAAGCCGACGCACACATACACACGGCCCCAGTCATAATAATAAACACCAGGCAGCAGAGGTGTATAATTTCCACCACAGCAGCTTACCTACCTGCGTAGCTGTCGGTAACAGGTCCCAAATCACACACTGTCATGGTATGAGTCAGGGGAAGTCCCGCAGCTAATGTGCACTGACACAGTTTCTGAGATGAAAACACTAGTAGGCCCTTATTTGCTCAAGAGACAAACGTGGCTCATTGCACCTGGTTACAAAGAGAGCTCTCGGCAAAAGCAGACTGAATTCATGATTTGTTTGAAAGCATTTCCGCTATCAGCACAGAGAGGGAATGGGAAACTGACAGGAAAGAAAGGGAAAGGATTGTTTGTGACAAAGGTTGCGAGCTGGATTTGACCCTGTGCTGCTGGGAGTACATGATATTCACTTGAGCTCCCAGAGCCACTCCCAGAGAGACTGCTCTCGCTGCGTGAACTGGCTCACACTGAAGCTTCCAGACCATTTCGCCTGAGGGCAACAAGCCAAAGCTACGTTTGAAATCTGATTGTATGTGGGTTTTTTTTTTTGCACAGAAAGAGCTCTTGCTTTGCCAAAAACTCTCTTGGAAGTCATGTTTTCTCACCGGTGTAATAGGTGCATACACATGTCAGAGACACTGTCACTCAAAGCACGAGGGGATGGAATTCAATGGGAGTTCCCAACTCTCGGAGCATGTCATCTCTTACAGAGCTCGACATAATTCACAAGGGGTCTTTGAGTTCGAGAGGTATTTGGGTTTGTCACCGCCGCTGCTCTTGAATGCAGCACTGGTGGCAGCAGGTATGTGGAGAAGGGGTGGGGAAATCCTCTTTTATTTTGCGCCCAGGTCCCATTTCCTGTCAACTTACCAGGCGGGGGGGGGGAATCAAAGAAGAAAGAGGTAGTCAGAGTAGCAAAGTTGGCTGAGAGACTCCTTCAGGTTCATCCCCTGCAACTGAGGCAGGAAAAATGGCACATCTCGCAGCACCTTCCATGACCAGGGACGGTTCAAGCTCACTCTCTGGCAGCGCCGTTTCATCATCTTTTACTATCTTGTACAACAGCGCAGCGGTTGAGATAATAACGGTGGCTGCATACTGTGCCTTGAGCGCCAAGTAGTAAAAGACTCGACATTTATAGTGTTCCTTCCCTGCTCTCACAAAGCCGGCATCTTTGCCAGGAGAAACAAGAGTGCGGAAAGTGGAGAGGAGAAAGGGGATTTGCAGGGGAGATCCACCATTTTGTGTGTTTGTGTCTATTGTGTACATGATGGTTGTGCGTCCTCTGTGTGTGCCAAGAGACAGGCGTAAAATGTAAACTTGAAGTGTGTATGTGTTCAAGGATTGACAGAAAGTGAGTCCAATTGAAGCGTATTGACCTCTGTTCCGCTCAAGAGCTCCTCTTTTGTGACACCTAACTTTATAACCCCCCCCCCCTCCATTCAGGCCTTCTGCTGGGTTATATATCTTGTGCAGTTTTACAACCTGTTACTCTTCGTATGTGTGTGGGTATTATCAAGAGTGTGTGCGTCTGTTGCGGCGCCCTGTGGGAAGCGGAACTGTCTCTCAGTGAGACCTCGCTGTTGTTTCCTTTCCCCTGTATAAAAGCAAACGTCTAATTGAGACTAATTAGCCAGACAAGGCGCTGCAATAAAATGTCACACAATACCTCGCAGATCACCCACCTAGACCTCTGCCTCACTCTCCCACTGTCTCTCGGCCTCCCTGTCACACACAGACGTACACTACCTCTTTGTCGAATTGAATCTAATATCGCTCTGAGCCCGCGCTTTCTGTCATTCAGTTATTCACCCAGTTATCTGAGAACAACGTTGGTCAAAGCCTCTTATCTCTTCCGCGGCTCATTTTACAAGTTTTATGACATTGTTGTAAAACTATTGAAAGTTCTATTGATCTCCGCTGTCACACTGTTCCTCTTTGTCTGACCTGGTTGTTTTTTCTTTTTCTGTTTCTGTTCACAGAGACGCTGATGGACACGAAGTGGGCCACGACAGAATTAGCCTGGACTGCACACCCTGAGACTGGGGTGAGTTTACATTGTACAGTTTGTATGTATGGATATATTGGCAGAAATGGGAAGTAATATAATTAGTACTTTTACTTCTGTGTATAATCATCTCAAAATAAGATTTGTGTTTTCGTTACCTTAGAATAAGCCGTTTATATCTGCATAGGGAGTGGGTGCTTGTCTATGGAGAGCGCCATGTTGCACCACCATGTTTCTACAGTAACCCACAACGGACAAATCAAGCACTGGCACTAGATATGGCACTTTGTGTTTTGGTGTCAGCCACCAAAGTTTGAAGCCCCTCTGCAACGATAATGCCAGAAAAATTAATTGTTTTTTTTTACGTGAAACTGCTTTATTTGGATGATTTTTTTACCGGCTTTAATCAGTGGGTCAAATTGTTTTGGAGAGGAAGAGGCCACTGCAGATAATTCTGTTCCTGGTAAAAAGTTCCTGAATGTCAAGATTTACAATTATGAGAGAAAAAAAGTGAGCACAATTTAGCAGGTGCTAGGTTTGCGGCCCGTCTCCAACATGCCAAACAGCGTCAGAGAAATACTGATTTGTAACAGTAAAATGCTTTATTCAGTGTTTTTACCAGTTTAAATCACCAGGTACATTTGTTTTAAAGAGAAGGAGACCTCTGTAGATAATTTGGCCCCCACTAAAAACCTCCTGAACAAAGAACACTAAAGGAATCCTAACTGGGTGAAGTTTCATCTGGTTTCAATCTGCACTCCTCACCACTAGATGCCACTAAATCCCCCTCAATAGTACACACTGCTCCGTCTGCATGTCTCTTGGTAGTTGAAAAGTCCTGTACACCTTCAACCGGTCAATCACTCAACAGGATATGTTTTGGGATTCAACAGGATGCGCTTTTTAGGGAGCAGAAAAAGATACACTGCAATCCAATTTCACCGACCCACCCAGTCACAGATGTTCCCTTCCCCTCCCCTCAGAGCACTTAAAACATGTGAAAACTGGCAGTTTCCTCGTGAACTAACCTTTTAAACACTAAAATATTTCTTGCCGTTGACCCATTGCACGCCCCGGCATCCAAATCTACCACACACAAAGTGCCAGTGACAGCCCCGTCTTGCTTTCCCATGTGGTCTCCACAATGGCCTAAAGAGGAGCAAAAAGAGTCTTGACCCCTCCTCAGCTACACTTCAAAGACCCCCGGCGCTCCTCCCCTCGCTTTTGTGTGGCCCTCTGACTTGGCCCTTGTGTTTTGAAAGCGGGCCCCCATTTTTTATTTTTTGTTTTTACCCCAACACACTTGCGGGGACATTCCACCCCAGCTGTTCGGAGTCGCCCACCCTCCTTATTCTCCCCTTCCTTTACTTCCAAGTAACTAAGCACTAATGAAGCCAGACACACTAGCCACCTCAGCTGCAACAATCAGTGGGACAAACCCCCTCACAGCCTTTCGTGCCCTCCTTCCTCATCGTCCTTCCGTCTCCCTATCCGTCCATCTTCCTTTGCCTCCATCTGCCCCCCTCTTCCTTATTAAGCTACAATGCAGCAGCGATGCTCCCACCGGTCCCGTGCAGAATGGAACTAAAAAACGCCTTCCCGTTTGTTTTCCAAGCAAACCCACAACAGATGCTCCTTTTCAATAGGTATACATACAGTGGAGAGCCTTTTGCACTCCAGAATTCCCACATTACCAATCGAAAGACTCAAGATGAGTCTCTCCCCTGCCTTTTTTGTTTAGTAGCAGAATGTGCCACAGACGGTGGCTGTCCTTGAGTTTTCTACCCTGTTTTCCCTCCTTTTATTTTTCTCGCACACAAATAATCTATTTTCCCTGATGTTTTTGTCTTTAAGCACAATGTATTGTGCGTGTGTTTATTTGTATGCTTTTGAGGTCTTGCAACCGGAGCATCGCAGGCTGTTTTTGTTAGGGGTGACGAGTGTTTAAGACAAACTGATACAGTGGCTAGGAGGACAAACACAACAACATACTGAGAGAGCTTGGGAGGGAGGGAGGGAGACAGCAGTGAGACTTAGACTTGGTAAAATCCACAGAAATGTCCATGCAGATAGAGGGAGACAGTATGTAAGACAAAAAAAATCAATTTCTTAGAAAAAATCTTCGTAAAAGACCCACTCGCAGACTACACACACTATCCCAGGGATGCTGTCCAGCCAAGTCTGAGTCACAGCATTGCTCTGTTTTTTTCACAGTGTTGCACAACACATACAGATAAAGCATCAGACATAAAGCTTCACAGAGGAAACATAAACTGTGTGTATTTGTGACAGCGAATCCAGTGACAACCAGCACATAAGTGCTACTATTAATGCCACCACTCTCGGTGTAAAAGATAGATAGGTGTGAAAGCCGTTGAATGTGTGTCTGTAAGAGCGCATTCAATTATTGATATGTGTGTGCCTGTGTGTACATGTATTCCTTCTTACTCTTTCCCCTCTGTGTCTGTACTCTGGTATGATGATTTCGCTGTCTCACTGTCTGCATCTGTCTGTATAGCCTGTAGCATCTGTGCATCATGCATGTGTCTGTCAAAGTATGAGTGTGTGTGCATGTCGACACCTATCTCGAGCTGCACTCGTGCTGTTGCTCAGATTTCAGAATTTCACTATGTCTCCCTGTGTTGTGTGTTTGTGCATATAGCGTATCATTTATCTTCCAAAACAGATGTATCATGAAAGGGGAATTCCACTTTAAAGAAAGGCTCCCCTCAGACCTGGAATAACAGCCACAGGGTTTTCAGAACTATCCGCTGATAACAGTATACCAAGTTAGTTACCTTGTGGAGATAATAACTATTGTTAGGAGTATCATTGTATGCTTCACAGACCCAAAGCAAGCCAAAACATGTTATGAACAAGCTAACACGTCCTTAGAATTAACCTCGGAGAGCTCATATGTACTAACAACAAACAGAAAAATAAAAGCACACATAAGCTTGTTGGGGTTACAGCTTTTCAGCTAATGCAGCTAAAGCTAATAATACTAGTTTATCTCAGTTGTAGCAACGGCTGCTAACACCTAATGTTCGTTTTGAATTCATGTAAGGTTGATGAATGACCAAAGCAATCAAAACATCCATAAAAATGTCCCAAACTCCGGCAGCACAACCTGCGTCTTCACATCCATATTTTGAGTCTTGCCAAAGTACATGCGAAAAATATTTTTCCAGTGGGCCTTTGGACCTTCGAGGAGGGTGATATTGCATCACAGAAGCATTGTTCATTGTCATCTGCAAGTAAAATTTAAAGCTTTGATTGGAAAGGACAAAGAGAAAATGGAGTGGATCGCAAATCTTGCATAACGATTCATCTTGCTGGAAATCGATGCCAAGAAACTTGACCCTTTTTCACATGACCTACTTAATTCATTCAGGCTTGGTAAGCAGGCGCTCGGAGTGTTTGGCCACTGGTGCGTGTCTCGGGGGGGGTGACCTCTCTCTAAACACGCACATACACAAACAGACGCACACCTACGCATAGAAACTCCTAAACAGACAGAGCAGGTATACACACTCGAGCAGACAGACTCACACCAGAACATTTAAACAAACACGCACAACCTTATACACACACACCCAGGAACGCATTGCAGTGGGTGATTTATTACACTGAACTAAATACCCATTGACACTTCATGCTTTTAGCCATCTCATTGACCTGGTCGGTGATTATCGATTCCCTCCGGTTGCTTCCTCCTTCTCTCTCGCTCTCGCCGGGCCATCGTTTTAATGCCACGGCTGAGCTACGCCCATTCTGCCTCTCTCCCTCATGGCCTCCAGGGTCTGAGATGAATAGCCTTGTCTCCACCACATCCATATCACAGCCTCAATTAAGAAACACAGAGCTCAGACGAAAACAACTGACTCTGGAGAACAAATTGGTGCCTTTATGCAAGAACTTCGACGCAGTCAGATGTTCCGAGGCAAACTTTGGTCCCAGGAGCACAACCATAGACATTTAATTTGTTATAGATGTGTCTTAGCATTAAAGACTTAAGTATTCTAGTCTTTTAGGGGGGCTGAGTGATGTGACAGACCATCCTGTAATCAGACGGCCACAGGTTCAGTCTCATGGATTTAGGTAGCAGGTCTAATGACAGCCATGCACAACTTCAATCTCCCTAGCTTTACATTGCTCTTTTTAATGTTCCTCCTCATTGTCTTTTAAACGCTTTAATGCTTCGCCATCCCTTATGCAAAACACTTTGCCTTTGTATATGAAGAGTGCTATGCAAATAAACATGCCAGGCCTCGGCTTAACTAAAAAGTAAATGCACTGTTTGTCTGATGGGAAAGGGGAGCAGATCCCTCAGCACACACGCACATGGACATGCACGCGTACAAAGATATATTATACACACAGGAATCGCTATTTGAAGTAAAATGATTTAATCGTGGTGTCCTCATTCGAGATTGAAAAATGCATTAGATTACAGTGTCTCACAGCAAAGATTTTACAGTCTAGTTTGCTCGTGCTCATTTAATGAAGCTGGTAATCAAAGTTTAGAAAATTTAATCCCATTTTATCCTGAGTAATTCACCCCCTGGGTACTGTAGTAGCATTGAAAGATGTAGGGGAGTGTAAAAACCGAAAATCACGAAGGTTAACCGGCGTCTTTATTAGAGGACGTTGCGATCATTGCTCTGTAATTGAAGCGTAATTGGTTGTGAAGCAATGTGGCTGCTACTTCCAAACAGATACGAGGTAAACATGCTGTGGTGGCTCTGTGGTGAGGAGGTGACAGGTTGCTGTAATTGAGATGAATTTGCAGTCCTCGTCCCTGGCTTTTCGCTACACTAACCAGAGATGAAAAGCGTAGCATGGCAAAGGAAAGGGAATGTAATTGAAAATACCCCCCCCTCCCAAAAAAGAGAACCCTTCTTTCTTTCTAGGTCCTAACCCCTGCCATGTTTCCGCCATTCTTTCTTTATCAGGCAGTGTGACTGAATGTAGCTCTTAGAGTTTTAATACAAGGTGTACGGAGTGTCTGTCTGAGTACCTATATATCTGAAGATATCAATATGTATTTACAGGCTCTAACCTGTTTGTCTTTTCTCTGCTCTCTTTTCAGTGGGAAGAGGTGAGTGGCTATGATGATGCCATGAACCCCATCCGGACGTACCAAGTCTGCAATGTACGTGAGCTCAACCAGAATAACTGGCTACGCAGTGACTTCATCCCACGAAAGGACGTGCTGCGTGTATATGTGGAGATGAAATTCACAGTGCGCGATTGCAACAGCATTCCCAACATCCCAGGTTCCTGCAAAGAGACCTTCAACCTCTTCTACTATGAGTCTGACTCGGACTCAGCCACAGCCACCAGCCCTTTCTGGATGGAGAACCCTTATGTGAAGGTGGACACTATTGCCCCAGATGAGAGCTTTTCCATGCTTGAGTCTGGGCGGGTAAACACAAAAGTCCGAAGTTTCGGGCCATTGTCCAAAGCCGGGTTCTACTTGGCCTTCCAGGACCTTGGTGCTTGCATGTCGCTCATCTCAGTGAGGGTCTTTTACAAGAAGTGCTCCACCACCATCGCCAACTTTGCCGTTTTCCCGGAGACAGCGACTGGGGCTGAGGCAACCTCTTTGGTCATTGCGCCAGGAACTTGCGTCCCCAATGCCCTGGAGGTGTCCGTGCCATTGAAGCTTTATTGCAACGGAGATGGCGAGTGGATGGTTCCCGTAGGAGCCTGCACCTGCTCAGCTGGTTTTGAACCAGCCATGAAGGATACCCAATGTCAAGGTGAATGTTTTCACAACAGATATTTGAGGTCAGTCCAGGATTGACTGACCTAAAATACCTACCAAGGCCTATGTTAGCTGCTGAACTGACCCAGAGAGTCCATGAATCTTTACAAAACTGTGTGATATTTTGTAGCTTATTCCACAGTCTTACCCTACTGGAAGATGGTGGTGGGGTTGGGGGGATTTCCCTATGGCGATCAATAATGTATCACATTATTACTGCTGTGAAAAGTTACATTTGCATTTTAGGCACACAGTATCTGATAGTTCTACGCAGGGTGAATTACAATGAGTACGTGGTAAAGGGTCAAAGTCTTGCTGAAGGACGCTTCATCTAGACAAATGGCTGTTGTGTCCACAAACCGAATGTTGGGGAGATTGAACCGATATTGTTTTGGCTACAGGTTACAGCCTCTATCACTATATTGTCCAGCTGCCACATTATTATGAGCTGTTTATTTGCCTTGTATCCTTCGACACATTAATCCAATGACTACAAGGTAGAATAATACACGCTATGACGGTGTCAGCAGGCAGGCTGTTCACTGCTCTGACCTCAGCTTTGCCTGGCAGCTGGTTGCTAAATAAATGGAAATGCAGGGGAGGCTGTCTGTTTCTGAGAGGCCTTATGATGCTTTCAGGTCTGATGGAAAACACGACGGGTTCACAGGGGTTGAGAGCAAGGTGAATTTAAACAGCGAGGTCTCAAATGAAATGGAGTGCAGGTGACAGCAGGAGGAGAGAGTGGGATAAATGGAAATTGCGTGTGTGTGTTGAGGGGTATGGGGGCGTAAAATTAGGCTCAGGGTGCGTAGGTCAAATGGAGACAGCAGAATGAGATCGCGAGGGGACCTGGCAGGGTTATTGATCGAATGCGAGGTGTCTGTGCATGTGTACAGTGTGTGTGAAGCTTGACTGCCTTGGTTCAGAGGGATCATTCTTCTCCTTAAAGTAGAGAAAGATGAGGCTGGGAAGACCTTTAAGTTCAGTACCCATACTGGTGATCAGGCAGAGAGTGGGTGGATACTTTAAACAGGCAGCTTCTGGCAGACCCTAAATATGTGTGCTCACCTTTAAAAGGAGAGTGTGTGCGTTTGTGTTTGAGTGTGGGAGAGAGAGAGAGGGAGCATAGTAAATCTTAAGGATGGTGTGTGTGGTTAAAAACTCATTTGTTTGCTCCTGGCAGCTCAAGGTTAAAGCCCTGGTGACTGGGTCCTGATAAAACGTTCTCTAATCAAGCTTCACTGGGAACCACATGGGATAAATCCCTCTCTCTTCTTCTCTTCTCACTTTACCTCTCCTCAGGTCCACTCTCCATGCTCATTTCTCATCATCCTTTCGCTATGACTCTTGCTTTCTCTGCTTTCCTGTCCTCGTTCCAACATGCAGCATCTCCTCCAGCTCCGCCATCGTTCTCTTTCTGCTGTATTAGTCTTTACCTCTGTGTCTCGTTCCTTTCTAATCTGAAGGCTGCTGCGCGCATTAATATGCCAGCAAAGTTACAGTAAGGATGCCTGCATTAATATTAATCGATGAGCCTTTTTTTTGTTGCCTTTCCACTCGTTTGCTGCCCATTTTTCACCTCCAATATTCTTTACTTTTCCCTTCATGCTCCACACTTTCCAATTTCAGCATACATTCTAATCAGTTCCTTAAGCTCTATGTTCTGCATGAACATAGAGCTTAGGATAAGACACAGGGGAGAGCGGAAAGGGGGGCGCCTGCAGGATTAGCATTTTCTATGCCTCCACCTCTTCCACCTCTCCCTCCTTTTTTCTCTAGCCCCTTGTGTCTCCTTCTTCCCCATTCTTCAGTGGTTCCTCTAAGGGGAGAGTTGATGAAAGGAAGAGGATGACCCCTTTACTCACTGGAAGTGATAGATCAGCGCTTTCAGCCCTACCCTGAAACAAAAAGCTCCTTTTAATAGGAATGCTCCATCAACATCCTTCATAAGGCCAACCACGTTCAAAACCCAACACTGTCATCCCACGGGAGTTGAGAAATCGCTTGTAGTTTACTTTGTGTGAACTTAAATGAACTTGAATAGGTCAGGGTACCAAATCAGAGAAGTTGTTCTCCCACCTGGTAAAACTCGAGGTCATTTCTTATCTGTTTATCAAACAGCACTTCCTGTTAGCCAGTGGTGTGGATGACTGTGATTAATGGTGGAAGAACAAATACACTCAGTGCTAATGTACATGGTGCAGTCAACTGGTGGTTTTGTGCTAATATTGAACTTTCAAAAAAAAAACGGTAAAACAGCAGGAGCAGGAAGTGGTCCCTGTTTTCAACAGGGAGCGAAAAACAAACGCGGGAGCTATGGTGATGATTATCATTCAGAGGGACAAACATAGCAGTGTGTCCTTGACATTGACGAGCTAACGCACTAGTGGGTCAGCTAATCAACTGGCCCCTGTAAACTTTGCCTGTCTTACCTGCTCTCGTCTTTTTTTATTAAGCACTGCGGCAAACTCATTCATCTTTTAACGAGACAGTTTATCAAAGATATGGAGCCTGCCAAAGTGTTCTGGATCACAGTGCTGCTGTCAGTGTTTCCCTGCACGTCTGCAACTTATCACCTGAGTTATAAACTTCCAAACAGTGGCTATAAATGGAGAAAGGGCATTTACAAAGGCCAGCAGTGTTTTCTTCTGATTAACTAGGCTTCCGCCAATGGAGAACCGGTTTGGATAAAACAATGTTGAAGGCAGTTTTGTGTAGGTCTCTACTGGGATGGATCTTACAGACAGAAGAATGCAGACAAAAGCCTCATAACACTGAGTATATTGAAGTGATTTGTGGCCAGGATGGCATGTGTTTGTGTCGACATGTATCTTTGCACAGTTGTGCCAAGACCCATGTTTGTGTACACCTCAGCATGTGCTGTGTGAGCCTCTCTGATTCTCTGTGTGTATGTTTATATGTGTTTCATAAAAGACTGAATTCAGATGAAAGTGCCATGCCAGGGTTTTGGCTCTGAGGGTCGTGTATGTAATTTGGGTTGACAGTCTCATCGTGTGAGCACGGGTTTATGCAAACAGCAACATGCTGCTCAAAACCCTCTTCTTTTCCCACTACAGTTTGCCGAGGATGCCCCGTCCGTTAGGAAAAAGGGAACATGTGGTGACAAAAACAAATCATGCTCACACATGTATATAAACAAACACATGCTAAACACATCAAAGAAGCTGCTTTTACCAGTGAGCTGGAATGCTGTTAAATTATCCACTATAGTGAAGACATTACATCCTGTTGTGAAGGCTTGCATACTAAAGCTGAGGATAAGTGAGAGTAAAATTCAGTATTTTCATCGCAGAATGAGAGTGGCCTCCTGCCCATTTGGAAAATGTGACCCACACAAATGTAATAGAAGTGTAGCAAAAATTGTTTTACCTTAATTATTCACACTTTTCTCTCTCCATTTTCTCTCTTTTGCCATCAGCTTGCAGCCCTGGCACCTTCAAGTCTAAACAGGGAGACAGCTTCTGCCTGCCCTGTCCAGCCAACAGCCGTGCCAGCTCAGGGGCATCCAGCATTTGCTCCTGTCGAAATGGTTACTACCGCTCAGACACGGATTCTCCTGATTCCCCCTGTACCAGTAAGTAAAGACTGCTTTCAGCTGACTGAATGGCATCAGCATGTTTTAAAGTCACGCTGTTACTGCCATGCTTTTAAAAAACCCAGACAGAATTAGATGCATACCACATATTCAGACAGTAATCGAATGTATTTTTATCCATAAAACAAAATTCTTGACTTGTGTGGTAAAAGTCTTTCAAACTTTCCTCTTTGAATTTTAGTCCTCAGCGACTAATAAAAGCCCTCAGGAGTACGTTCCCACCATGCCACACAGATGGCAAACAAGTCTGCTTGCTTTCCCAACGTTATCCGAAACATTATCGTCCAACCCCTCCCCCGCCCGCCTCCCCGGGAAGTCTATCTGTACTCGATGCAGCCATCCCTTTGCAGACAGAGAGCGGAGGAATTTTTCTAGCAGCAGTGCCTTCGTTAACAGCAAACACACACACATAGGAGCTAATGCATTGGTGAAGAGAGAAGAAGATCCTTTTTTCTGTTGCTGGGGTGGGGGGCTGATTCTCCCACAGTGCAGCGAGAGATAAGGCTCCGGTAATTGGATAAGAATTGCCAAGGCTCTGCCAATAGTTTGTCTCGCTCGTCCCCCCCAGTACTTCACACACAGACACACAGTGGAAATGAGCATGCAATTCAAATTTGAACTCCTGTCCTTTTTTTTTTTTTTTTTTTTAAAGAACTGCTGGAACAGACTCTTGTTATGTGGAAGAAAAAAAAATGTTCTAGTTAATGCATGAAAAATGTACTAATACCACAGCACAAGGAAAATTCTTGGGTCATGAATTGCATTGATAGCAGCTATGGAATAATGAATGTATGTGTGCACAATGATATGTAAACTGTGTTTTGCAATATGAATCTCTGCCTATTGTCAGCGTGTCTCTGTACTGTCACCAAGACAAATTTCTTAACACCTATTGTGCATGGAGATTAAATTTGCTCTCATTCCAAACCTGTTTGCCTCATCTCATCCACACTTTACTTCTCTTTTGCAGCTGTTCCCTCAGCACCACGCAGTGTCATCTCCAGTGTTAACGAAACCTCGCTTGTACTGGAATGGAGTGACCCTCGTGACTTGGGTGGCCGGGAAGACATCTTCTACAACGTCATCTGTAAGAAGTGCCTGCCTGAGCGGGGAATGTGCTCGCGGTGTGACGACAACGTGGACATCTCGCCGCGCCACCTGGGCCTGACCCAGCGCCGCGTCGCCGTCCGTAACCTCCAAGCCCACACCCAGTACAGCTTCGAGATCCAGGCGGTCAATGGTGTTTCTAACAAGAGCCCCTACTCGCCTCAGTTCTCCGCGGTGAACATCACCACAAATCAGGCTGGTAGGTGCAGCTGCAGCCTTATGGCTTACCTGTCAGAGATCAATATTGAACTTGTAGGCATTGCCAACTTTCAAAGGCTGGAAGAAGATACAAAAGAATGTCAGAGAATACGTTCTGCGCTTAAGAAGTAGAGATCAATTTCTTGTATGCATGTAGGAGTGTGTTACATATTTCCCCTTTGAACAGGGATTGAGAAGGAAGACATTCTTCTGAATGAGCTTAGAAAGGGACCTTTTTCACACGCCCACAGCATGCTCTGTACTAACACTGCTGCAAATAGCAATAGCGAGGCAATGTGTATTCAAAGTGTTGAACCCTCAGTATTCTAGCTGCCCACTGCTTCCAACCCACCACTCCTCCAGCCCACAGCAACAACAGCAACTAGGCCAATGTAGCAATCAGTGCTGAGATAAAAAACGCTTTTGTGTACAGAAGACTTAAAACCAGTTGATGTATACAGGACAATTCAAGGTAGTAATGACAAGCTGTTGCATTTGATCCTCTTAACACTGAGATGCACAACGTATATCAAATGCAGGGTTAATTATTTTGGATTAAAATAGGTAGACAGGTCTATGTGGTTGGTTAGTGGGTAGGTAGGTAGATCATTTTTGCAATTACTTATGTAAATTGAGCAAATTTTAAATTTTAGTTGGTTCGGTTTACCTCAAATAACCTCAGTGCTGCCTTAGTTCTTGGGTCGGTCTCTTTGTTGAGGTTCTCCCAGGCTCTTAAACTGTGTCTTGGGTGTGTTTAGCCGCTATGTTAAATTTACTATTTCTGCAGGCTTAGACAACACCAAGGATTATCCCCTTCCTCCTTCCCCCATCATTTCTCCTCTCTCTCCATGGCCTTGTCCTCCTCACCTCTAACCTCCTAAAAGATGCTTTAGGAATGCCTTATGTTTGTCCGTCTAGGACCCAAAGGTCCTACAGGGCCCCACGTGAGGATTTCATTGTTTTACAAGGGGTTCACCACTGGACTGACAGGGACCACTGTCCATCTTTGGGTGCTCGGGGTCAGTTGGGTGCAAGAAAAGAGGTGAAGGGAAAGGAGGGGCCAAGAGAGCATCAACTGTGATCAGATTATCCCCTGGTGTTGTCCCAAGACCATCCCTGCATGTGCATTCACCTTTTAAGAACCAAAATAAATACTAGGGCGGTGATAAGCCCCAGGGGCCACCACCATGGTTACTTCAACGTCTTCTCCCGGAGGAGGGCCCCTAATCCCCTGGCTAGAGTAACCCGGGGATCTGCCTAGGAAGCATTGTCTTCTGCAGGAGAAAGAGAGATGTGGTGGGCCTGGGCGGATGGCATGGGAGGGAAAGAGGCAGGGGAGGGAAGGTTTGGGGATCAGTGAGAGAGAAACAGAAGGATGTCTGGCCACAAACACAGGCAGCAGAAGGAGAAAGGAAATGCAAGGGGGAGGATGAAAGAACTAAAAACTGGGGATTAAAAAGCTTGAAGGAAGGGAGACAGACTGAGACAGAACGGAGATGGAGGTCTGCAGTGGTGAAAGGGAAGATGAAAAGTGGAGAGGAGGACGGGGGAAATTAAAGAAGGTGATTGGTGTGCATGTAGGAAAAAGTGAGGAACTTAAAGTTTGAAGAGAAGGTACCACTGGAGATTGACAGTTGAAGTTATGAAACAAAAGCGATGGAGTAGACTGAGAGGAGGGAGTGAGTCAGAGGTACAGAACAAGCCTGAACTTAGAAAAGAGGAAAGAGAGACAGGGAGGCAGACAGCACTTGGCCATTAATAGGCACATGTGAACAAAGCATGAAAAGCTCAGGTGGGTGGAGTGCAAGTGTGTTTTGTTTCACGAAACAGTGCATGCATGTACATGTACATATATGTGTAATACATAATGCATATCTCGAAGGCTAGACACAGAGGAATACATGAGTGTTCCCAAACACTTCCTTGAGAGTTTGGAGCAAAAGTGCAGCAGTAGTTCAGCAGGCATGTAGTTAAATGAAAAGTGAAAAGTCTACATCTGTATGTGTGTGCTTGCCCCTTAGCTTGCCTACAGTTGGTGTATGGCAGAAGGAACTGCATGTACCAGAGACTTATCCATCAGTTTTGCAGTTTGATTCTCTTGTCACAGGAGAATTAGACATCCCCTCTCCCTCCCGGAGGACTCTGGGAGGGAGAATTTGAGCATTAGTGGGGAATGGTTCTGCATACTAACTATTGGCCAAAGCTTTTCACAAAGCCCACAGCCTAAGACTTTGTATTTGGGCTTCTGTGGACATACAAAGGGCATAGAACTTGAGGAGACATAACATAGAAAACGATAAATAAAGCGGATTTTCCTTTATTTATTTTGTCCCGTGTAGCTCCATCTGCAGTGCCCACAGTTCACCTGATGGCGGCCACAGCGAGCACCATGAGCCTGTCCTGGCTGCCTCCAGAGAAACCCAACGGAATCATTCTGGATTATGAGATTAAGTACCATGAGAAGGTAAGCGGCAATGTAAGTCAACGCCTCTAATTCAATCCAATTTCATTGACTTGCATGGTCTCTGTTTCATCTGTGTTTCTGTAAATTTGGAAAACAATGCCTCCGCTGATAAACACATGGTTGCAGTGAGGCAAGTCACCATTTCCAATCTTAGCTTGTGTGATCATGCTCGCCTACTTATTCCCCTCTTCCCATCCCTCGATCCCTCCTTTCTTTTTCTCTCTTTCTCTCCTCCCAATCCGTTCCCATATTTCTATTATGCTTTGCCCTTTTCTGTACCCCTAATTCCATTTCTCCCTCTTGCCCTCCCTCTTATCCCCCGTCCTTACTCAATCCATGCGTTAGAAAGTTTCTGTATTTTCCAGGGGCCCAGACATTTGTGACTGGATCTGCCTCGGGGAGAGAACAAAGACACTCAGTGTATATCAGCTCTGTTTGTTGTCATGTCCTCCTCCCATTGGATTAACACACCGGCTACAATCTGTCTCTCTCTCTCTCTTGCTCTTGTCTCCATATTTTTCACACGCCTGCATGGTTTGATTGGTCTGCCATGTAAGGCAGGGTAGAGCATCAGAGAGGGGATGATGATGATGAATGGGACAACACAGGGGGCTGCTATTTGGTATTGTTTTCATCACTGACTGTCTTTGTCTCTGCAGGATCAGGGTGAGGCCATTGCCCATACAATGACTGCCCAACGGAGCAATGCCCGCATTGAAGGTCTCAAGGCTGGTACGCCATATGTGGTGCAAGTCCGCGCCCGAACAGTAGCCGGTTACGGCCGTTACAGCAGCCCAGCCGACTTCAGCACCAACCTGCAAAGTATGTTACTCCCATACCTACTTCATTACTCAGGGATATGTTGGGATATTTGTGGCTTAGCAGCAATACCTCTATAATAGTGCTGTGCATAAGCTTATGAACATAATGGAGGCTCAAAAGCTTATAGAGCCAGAAGCTACTATGCCTATTTTTCACGGAAAAAGACTGAAATCCGTACAGAGAAAATGACTTATGATTTAGTGAAAATCTACCATTTCCTAGCAATCAGTCAACGTATCAGCCCCAGTCTTGCTCTACATCATACTCAGCCGTAATCAGACACAGAAAAGAACTGAATAGTCTATGTCACAGTTTTCATAAATGCATTCAGTAGTCCTGGGTTGCTCTGCATTCTGCTTAACACAGCCTGAAGAACACAAGGGCATGGTTACCTGTGTAAGCATACAATTATGAAGTGGGCGTGAGAGGCATACAGGCCTATAGTTAGACTTTGAGCAGAGCACACAGTGGCACAGTCTTCAGCTATACGAATGGATTGCAGCTAATGTGGGTGTATGTTTGTGACAAGTTCTCTAAGTAACCACTTTTTCTCTTTGACACCTAAAGCCGACCCTCCAAAGTCATGGCAGGAGCAGCTGCCACTCATCGTGGGATCAGCCACCGCCACCTTGGTCTTCATCATTGCAGTTGTGGTCATTGCTATTGTCTGCCTCAGGTCAGAATCTAAATCCTCTCTCATCCTCTTAAAAAGTCAGAACATGTGAAAGATGAGCCTGATGGAAAAGCGCATCTACGCTGAGTCATTTACTCTGTAGTAAACAAAAGCAGCAAGGACATACAGAAACATTTATGGAAAACATTTTTCCTTCAAGTTGGAAAAAAAAATTGAGATAGCTTCAAATGTCAACTTTGTTTGCATGTCCTCCAAACCACCCCAGAACAGTCTCAGTGGATTGCTGTGCCACCTGTGAGGCCGCTGAATGCCAGATTAGCCTTCTGAATCTGTGAATAGTAAACAGCTTTGGCCAAAATGCTACTTTGCTCACTGGACACAGCATGGTGGAGCAGCTGTTGGGCCTGATAGGCCTGTCCTCATGGCCCAGCACTCAGAATCAACTGTGCGTTTGCCCGACCACAAAGAACCCAGATGCGCCCCTGTCTGCTGGGCCCAATTGACTGGGAAGATGCGTGTGGCGTGCTTGCACCTTTCAAAAAGTCTGACACTGCATCAGCTGGGTCTAACCACACTCGTTTATCCTTATACCACTCATTTGTCAGGCAGCAAATGCAGTGCATGTGTGTATATAGGTGTGAAAGGTTGGCACCCACCGCTGACTAGCGCCCACTGGGTTCCCTCCACAAGCCAGTTCAGGCAGCGGCTGACAAGCGTGGGCATCGGTCACGCTAGACTGAATAATAATCTCCCTTGCTCCCCCACCTCTCCCTCTCGCTTCTTCACTCGCCTCTATTTTCACACCGCTACATTGTGTCTCTCTCAGGGTCTTGGCTTAGCCACTGCTCTGACTGCCACAGAAGAAGAGGGAGAAAATAGTTATAATACAAAACGCAGAGCTTCGGCATATTCCAGAACCGAATTAGAATTTGAAATAAGATGCAAATCACCATCGGGTATTATTGCCCTGGTTACTGGTTAGACAACAAAGGAAGCACATTAACATGTAATTTCAACAACCCAGCCCCCTCGCTCTGTCATCGTCTTTGTACCCCCCCACCCCTGCCTTGGTGCAGGAGGGACACGTGCATGAAGATGAGGATATAGAAACTGAGAGATATGGGTAAAAGAGAGAAGAGAAATGGTGAAAAGGGAAAGAGAGAATGACAGCAGAGAGAGAGAGAGTCCATGAGGAGAAAATAAGCGGCAGATTGAATTGAAACGAACAGTGTGATGTCTGTAGGGCGAGAAAAGGCGAGACAGCTGAGCTTGCTGTTTGAGTCCGCTTTTGTCTCGGTTGCTCATTTTGGGGGTACCGAGAGTGAATGGCTTTCACTTGCTTGCTTCAGACAATGGTATGATATCTTTTTGTTTAGACTCATGTTACAGTCCCCAAGTATGAATCATTGTACCACCAGGCATTGATCCAGTCTTTATCTACAGTGTATCCCTTGCTTCCGATGCAAAAAAGACAAAACATTTTCCCCAAACCATGTCTAGCGTGGCTACATCTCTGCAGACATTATTAGGGATCTTTTTTCCTCCTCCCATCTTTGTTCCTTTCCGGTACTTGCACCCTGCTGTGTGAAGTCCACGTGACTCAGTTTGTGTTTTCATCTTCCTCAACAGAAAGCAGAGAAATGGTTCAGAGTCGGAGTACACAGAGAAACTGCAGCAGTACAGTAAGTCTCTTTGCTGAGATGCCCCTCCTTTTTGCATTATTTACACTCCAGCAGCATTATTCCTATACTTCTGCTCAGTCATTACTATTAGCAATGACTGAGCATCCCCAAACACTTAGGGTAGCTTACAGATCTTCCTTTGATCGATAATTGGTTGATAAAGAATACGTTTTTAGACCTTTACATGGAGTTATCTATTGTTAAACTTATGTTTGACGTCATAGATTCACTTTCCTGTTCTTGCCACTGAATCCCCCATAGTAACACCGGGAATGAAAGTCTACATCGACCCCTTCACCTATGAGGACCCCAACGAGGCCGTGCGCGAGTTTGCCAAGGAGATTGATGTCTCCTGCGTGAAGATCGAGGAGGTCATCGGCGCAGGTAACCCACCAAAGCTCCTGAGCTACAGGGGGAAGACTGCTAGTCACCTCCAGGCCATACCGTTAGAGGACTTCACACCAAGCGGTACTTTCACTCAATTCATCGCTAGCCCTCTCCTTGCTCCCTCCCCTCCCACACTCGTCATCTCTTAGGAACCCCTTTTTTTTACAGTCTTACAGATGTCTCCAGCACTCTGTGTTTAAAGCATTACTAGCTTTATGTCCTCTCTTAGTTAGCATCACTCACAGTCCTAGCACCCTTACGTTGTTTACCATGCCATGTGCATTTAGATGAGCTGTAATACCTATTGTATGGTGGATTATCATTTCACAAATTCACCCGTGTCCTTAAAATGGAGCCCAATCCTGGATTGAGAGAGATGTTGTGTATGGAAATTCATTAAGTTTAAATAAGTATGGAGCAGCAGTCATTTCTAACTGATTGAAAAATATTCTTGAATCTAATGGAACCAGATTTTTGGACAATGCAAAACTAAAGCCCCATACAGACAGGATTTATTTCCCGAGGGAAGATGTTAATCCTGTCCGAGCGCATGTGTGTGGTTTTCACTCTTATCTCTTCCAGTATTAATTACAGCCCTATTGTTTTCTGGCACACTTGTTGGACCCCCTTTTTTCCCCATTTCTGATACAGATAGACACTTTCCCTGTTAAGATATAACTCCCAAGTATTTGCACATTAACATCCCTGCCTCCCTTTAAAATTGTCGAGCAGTCACCTGCATCTGAGTTTTGCAGGGTGTAACGAAAGTATTTTACACAACCCCATAACTTGGTTACTCACATACAGTTGTTATTGAAAGCTCATATGGAGAATCTGACCTTACAGGCTTATCAAATGGGCTATGGCTATCTTTAAATTAAACTGTTTTATGTGTAGTAGCCTGGGGAATGTGTCTGGTTGTACAAAGCAATTCCTGTTACCATGGAGCATGGCTAATATTTATATCCTGCATCTCCCTGAAATATTAATCCCGTCTGGCTGGGGCGTAGAATATTAAAATATTTCTTGTCCAGGATTGGCCATCTGTGACTCTGCCCACTTTTTAGTGTCTTGAGAACCTCTTTATGAAAGAGTGCTTCTGCTGGATCACTATATTAACCCCTGTGCCTGGCATTATGTGGTTGTGTCCCCTCCTTTAGAAACCCTCCCTAACATTTGATGTTGTAGATAGTAAAATATTTTATGTATCTGACATATTTGATAGTAATATCTCTGCTCAAAAGCTGCAGGACTGTGCCAATTGAGGTTGAGTTTTCTTAGCATTGTATCTGAGCCAAAATGGAGGACGTTGTGATGGCAGAGATGGGAGTCCCTACTACTGCTTCTGCTACTACCATTACTACTGCTACTACTACTACTACGACAGCTCTTCTACTTCTGAGGCTACTACTTGAAACCCGTCGCTTCCCAGCATTCACCTTTAAAGTGACGAACCCTCAACCCCTGTCTTCCCTGTCCCCCTCCTCTCCTCTACCCCCTTCCTCAATCCATCCCTCCATTCCTCCATCCCCTGCCCTCTCCCCCCTGACTTCCCTCAACTCTGTCACCCTTGCACCCATGTTGACACACATCGCTCTCATCGCCTAATTTCTCTCGCATTCTTGCACACGCTTGGTGTAGACTCTAAACGTAAAGCGTCCACAACCCCAAAAACCCCCAAGCTTCTGTCTCCACCTATCTCCTCCTCCTGTGCCCGTTTCTCCAGCCACTCCGAAGCTTAGCACCCCCACCCCCCTGCCCCTGATCCTTCCCCTCGTCCTCCTCTGTCCCTCAGCTTCTCACACCGTGTCACTCTTCAACATGCGTTATTTTATTTTTTTTCAACTCTTTTCAAATCATTTTGTCATCATGCCTCAAACTCACCACGCTGTTTCATTTAATCAGTAGCTTAACAGCACAAAGTCATTGTATGCTCCCCCATCACCACCATCCCTTGACAATGGCCTAGAGTCCTGGCTTCTCTTGCAGTCCCCCCCTGTCCCACCCCTCCTGCTACCCTTCCCTGGCTCCTTGGTTCTAACCAGTTAACTGTCCCCTCTCCCCTCTTTTCCCCCACTCTCCTTCACTCTTCCGTCATGCCTCTCTCCCCTCCCTCTCTCTCTCTCTCTCTCCTTCTATTCCTCTTTTGCTGTTTCTCTGGCTGGCTCGCATGGGCTCTCGCAGGAGAGTTTGGGGAGGTGTGTCGCGGTCGCCTCAAGTTGCCCGGGCGCCGAGAGATCATCGTAGCCATCAAGACCCTCAAGGTTGGCTACACTGACCGCCAGAGGCGAGACTTCCTGTCTGAGGCTTCCATCATGGGCCAGTTCGACCACCCCAACATTATCCGTCTGGAAGGCGTGGTCACCAAGAGTCGGCCAGTGATGATTGTGACCGAGTTCATGGAGAATGGAGCACTGGACTCTTTCCTAAGGGTGAGAAAAAAAGCCGGCACACATGAAGACATTACACCCAAGAATAGCTTTAATATCAGCTACTCCTTGTAACACATGTATCTGTGATTTCATCAATAATACAACACTATCCAACATATAAGCCAATCCAGATCTGCTTGATCTTGCTTTTAGTTATCTCACTTTCTTTGGAGACATAAAAGGTCCTCTTAAGCTCTGCTGCAAAGCCCACAATGGTTATCTGACAAATGCTGCATTCAGGCAATTGGTGACATTTACAAAGAGCTCAGTCTCCAGTGAATCACTGCCTCAAAGTCATATCCTACATTGTCTGCCAGCGAAAGGCAAAGGGAGGAATGGAGGATGGATAGGTAGAAAAGAGAGAGAGACGTTACAGTGTAAAGTGATAGGAGATGAAAGATGCAGGTGAGAGAACATATGCAAAGAAAGTACTGTAAGACACACAGAAAAATAGGTAGGTAGGACACATACAGGTAAAAAAGGAGATAAGCATATACTCCTTTGAACATGCAACCTTGATCTACAATCTACCCTTGTCGTTCTCTCCCTCTCCCTTTGCCAGCTCAATGACGGGCAGTTCACAGTGATCCAGCTGGTTGGCATGCTGCGTGGTATCGCAGCAGGCATGAAGTACCTGTCAGACATGAACTACGTACACAGAGACCTGGCTGCCCGTAACATCTTGGTCAACAGTAATCTAGTGTGTAAGGTGTCTGATTTCGGCCTATCTCGCTTCCTCGAGGACGACCCTTCAGACCCCACCTACACCAGCTCCCTGGTGAGTCCGAGAATAAGTGTGTGTGTATGTGTTTGTGTAAGTGTATTCATGTTTAAAATCAATGTTTAAAGGTGCTACATGTAACATTTTAACATTGATGCATCACCATTATATTAGTTAGTCTATTTTACAATTGAATCCATGGCATTGCCAAGTATGGGTGTATTCAAAAAATAGATCTGTGTCAAGTCTGTTCCCACATGGCATGACCATCATGGGTAGAAAGGGAGTTTTATTTTTTTTGCTTCTCACTGTGGATGGCAGGTGCAGGAGGGAAGAAATTAGAACAGTTGAAACAATTAACTAAACAAATACACATTGCAGCTAAATTAGTGTTCATCCCTATAAAGGTGGGACATGTGACTGAAGTAAATTTCCAGAAACTTTGCCGGATCCTCTGGTTGACTCTGGCTCCTGGTCTTGTACGAAATAACATTAAGAACTGCCAAAGCGGGTAAAGGAATACTTCACCCACAAAATGACCATTTGTATAGCTATTAGTCATGCCCTATTACCTTGAAATTGTGAAGAAAGCTTTGGTGTTTTCCATGCCTCCATTAAAAACGGTGAATATTTTGATTTATTGATTAACGGGGTCTGTGTTTAGCAAGAGCAAGACAGTGTCAACACATGCATCTACAAACCTTCATACAATTCATGCAGTGTAATCCAACTTTCATGTATCCAGTCATATGCTCAGTACTTCCCAAACACATGCTTCTTTACTAAAACTTATGTAAAACTGAACTGAAAGTGAAACTTATCTTATCTGAGCACACGACTGCATGAATGAGCCCTGGATTAAACTGCACGAGTTGTGTGACAGTTTGTAGACGATGTCTTGTTTTAGCTTAAGCTTAAAAGTATTCGTCTTGACTTCAAGGTTGCATATCATGACTAACTGATTTGCAAATGGTCATTCTGTGGGTGAGGTATTCCTTTAACGCACATAGGATAGGGTCCTTTGAGACTGAGTATAACTGTCAAAAATTAGCATGAGATCTGGTATAAGATAGGCAACCTTGTTTGGCCTGCACACAGAAGTTTAGTTTGAGTGTTTCTGGGTGTGTAGACATCTATCTATCTATCTATCTATGATGGTGATGTATCGATGTTAAAAACTACAGTTTGTAGCACATTAAATATTCTTCTAGCTTCACATGTTTGTACATCATTTCTCTGTAACTCTGTTACTAACCTTGTGTGTGTACGTGGTGTTTGGGGTTGTACAGCATGCACCCATGTGTTGTGCATCAACACTTCCCTTAGACTATGTTTTTCTCACCCTCTCTCTCCCTCTTGTATGTGTGTGATTCTGTGTTTGTGCTCCATCCCTCCAGTATTTCATGCTCACCTACTCATTCGCATATCCACAGGGGGGGAAGATCCCCATTCGCTGGACAGCTCCCGAGGCGATTGCCTACAGGAAGTTCACCTCAGCCAGCGATGTGTGGAGCTACGGCATCGTCATGTGGGAAGTGATGTCGTATGGCGAGCGGCCGTACTGGGACATGAGCAATCAAGATGTAAGTTGATAGGAGGATTTTCTTTTTCTGTAATGTGAAATATAAACACTTAATGTGCCATTTGTGTATATAATTTATAAGATAAGTCATTCTGTTGAAATAGTCAGCATTTTACACTTCAATATAGATATAAAAAACATTTTCAACCACTTCTGCTATTACTGTCCGAAAGCCATTCTCTCTCTATAGACCCGCCCACAACTACCACTGAAAGCCGATCTTTCTTTGGCCCTTATTTCTATGCATTCCCGACAGCATTTTTTTCTGTTTATCTCTGACTCTCGCATCATTTCCCTCATTCATCCTCTTCTGTCCTCCCTCACTTGCTATTTTCATCGACCCATCTCTCTCCTTGTGTTCCGTCCTCCCTCTACACCGGACTCGGTGATTAGAAGTGATTGTGATTTCTCTGTCGTCCTTCCTCAGGTGATAAATGCTGTGGAGCAGGACTATCGACTGCCCCCACCCATGGACTGCCCCACAGCACTGCACCAGCTCATGTTGGACTGCTGGGTGAAAGAGAGGAACCTGCGACCCAAATTCACCCAGATTGTGGCCACGCTGGATAAGCTTATCCGCAATGCTGCCAGCCTCAAGGTGGTCACCAACAGCACACAGTCCACTGGGTAAGTTGTAATATTCTGACATTAAAAAGTGTGTTGGCAGTATGAGGTTCAGAATCAGTATGAAAGCTCTGTCAAAGCTGGAAGCTGGTGATTATAGAAATAAACTGAGACAGTGTTTCATATGGTTTCTCTGGAGTTCCTTGTTGAGTTTTATTAGTTGAATTAGTGGTCTTCCTAAAGGGCAATAATGTCTCACTATGGTCATTGCATAATGGATATTAGTGCTGATTGCTTTCTAAAAATCTTCGGTCATATTTGGAGGAGACCTGCTGGACTCTGGTGATATATTACAGTAATAGGTTATTAGTTTATTGAATTAAGTCACTTGACTTTTCAGCTGTGAGAGTACTGGCCGAGCCATTTCATTTGCAGCCGAGCCAGAGCAACCGCGATAACGATTTCCACTGTGCAAATATTCCTTATCCAAGTAGATACGGTGCATGTGTGCATGTGAGTCACTCTGACTCAGCTGTAACAATCTTTTAACTCCTATAAAGTGCAGATTTCTTCCCATGCAACTCTTTAGCTCTCACAAATGCAGCCCGGGCCATTATGCAAATCCAAATTACCATCGCTCGATACGGCCCCTTAAAGCAACTCGTCTGCCAACTGGGAGCTCAATCAATGATGTCACATCTACATTTAGCTGCACTACCTTCCCCTTGCAACCTGTTTCTTGGAAAGAATTTGGAGGATAGAAGGTGGCGGAGTTGGAGCGACAGGGAGGGGGATGACCTACCTATCTGTCCCTGCATCAGGGTCTTTCTGTCCTGAGGGAGGGCCGCAGACAATCCTGGTTTGGGCTCATGGGGGAAACCAGGGTCTCGGTTGGCCACCGCAGTGACGTTCTTAGAAGATTAGGCTTGCGGTTAATTAGCTCGATTAAGGCGATGCAAAAAAGAGATGGGAGCGCCTTTTAATTAGCCACTAACGAGATTTTAAACGGGCCAGCAGAGAGGTGGCCTCCTGCCGACAAACCTAACAAGGGAGGAGTGAGAGATGATACCGCCGTCCTGGTCGGCATTGAAGGATGGCTGGAGGTTAGCTAACGCTGTCTGGGATAAAAGGCCTTTGCTTGTGTGTGTGTGTGTGTGTGTGTGTTTTGCATATTTGACATGACTGTAGATGTAAAGTGGAAGGAGCAGCTGAGGTTTGGTGATGCTTCCGGCAACAGTGTAATGAGATGTTTCTGTGTTTACCCTTCTACTGTTCGGTCTCTGTTGTAAATGCAGGAACTCATACTCTCTAAACTTTTTGATACTGTGCTCACATGGATTCAGGCAGATAGTAGATAGCAAAGCAGATATCATTTTAGTGTGCAAGAGCATGATGGTAACATTAGGTGGAGCCGGCAGAGAATACTGAGAACAGTAGACGGCATTGCTGTCCAGTGTTAAAATGCTTCAACTTTTTACTGTCCTGCGCAAAGGATTTCATAACCGCATGTTACGTAGCTGCCCTGGGATAGTCTGCCGATTTGTCCAGGGTGTACCCCGCCTCTCACCCAGTGTCAGCTGGGATAGGCTCCAGCCCCCCCTGCTACCCCTAACAGGATAAGCGGTCATGGAAAATGAATGAATGTTATGTAGCTGCCACATACAAAGATAAAACATTTGGACATTTGCTGGACATTACTGAAATAATCACACAAAATAATAAACATCAAATCATTCTATTTAATTCCATTCTGTGTAAACACTTCGTCATAACCATAGCAACATATGGTCATGCGTGTTTTGTTTTGCCATCCTGTCCTTCTGTCGGACTGTTCATTTTTCCCATGCCATCCAGAAAGACTTCTCCATCTGCCATCTACTAAATTCCTGACTCCCTGTGAGTGCAGCATAAGCCTTTGGAGAAACTTCAACAGCCCCAACCTGACCTTGAATTTACACTTGGCCTGTAACTGTCTCGCTAGCTCGCGTACAATATTACCCAGCATTCCTGCTGTGTTTCTGCTTGTGGCTCACATGTGGCCGGCTATAGTCTGGACCCTTTTGAAGCCAACTTTAGAGAGGAGGAGGACTAACAATACTCCATTAAGAGAAGCCAGAGTCTGGCGTTAACGACGGCCTGAGGCCTTGGGCTCCGAAGCGCAGGCCTTATTAAAAATCACTCCATCTACACCACTCAATGGAGCCTCTGTATCACTATTATTAACTCCCCCCTCCATGCCTTTTCTCTTTTCCTCCTCTTTCTCTCTCCATTCCTCTTTTAATTGTTAATGAATCTAATGCCATCAAAAAGGATGACAGGGATCAACAGAGCAGAGAGGAGGGGAGACAGTGGCGCTCTTTCTCTTTAGCCTGCTACCCTCATCTGTTTCTCCTCCTTTCAGCTCCCCGCACCTCCCTGTCTCTCCCCCTCCACCTCCACCTCCTCTCTTGTTCATCCGCTCCACTTCTTTCTGAGTTGTAGCACAGTTTTATTAAAACTCCCAAGGTGGCCTCTTTATCTACAGCATTGATCAGCAGTGGGGGGGGGGTACTTTTTTAAAAAGGCCATTTTGGGCTGTTAACAGGTGTGGAGGAACATGCAAACACAGACACAGACACATGATGTACAGTCATCAGGTTCATGAGTCTGTCCGATCATGCAACCACACACACACACACACACACATGGGAAAAGCATCAGATATTTCTTCACTCTCATGAAACAAAAGCAAAATGTCTTTCCATCTCTGTGAGATTGTGTTGCACACATCCTCTTGATGATGTTCCAGAACATATGCGCATGTGTTCAAACACACCCTGATGAAGATGTACTGTAAATGCATCAACAATTTACTAGAAAGCACGCGGCTTACAACCTACTCGTTAAGCTCATGTTCATACAGGGAGCCCAAATCTGATTTGAGCTGACTGGGAAAAACCACATGGAATCCAATCTTCCCAGATCAGTTTTAAACCACATTTGTATGTGGTTTCAAAGTGCAGCTCATACAACCACTCAGATTCAATTTCAAGTGGAGTTTTTTTTCTGTTTTGTCAGTCCCCGTGCAGCACAGTGACATCTCATTTAAAAAATAGAAGAACCAACAAATAGGAAAATAGCTATCCAGATGCGTCCAGGGTTTAAAATAGGAAACACGTTCTGCGTTCTTAGATCACTGATTCTGCCAGGTAAATGTTTTCTTGACCAAAGCTGTGGTCACTGTGACACCTGTTGTTGAAATTAGAGCATTTTATTATAGTTTCTTAACACAGAACTGATCTGGTTCCTTGTAAATTTCAATGTGTGTAGTCATCATTGACGATCAGAGATCGGCATCTGCTCTGTGAACACACATCACCTTGCCTCACCAGCTGCAGCACCACCACCCATGCCTCCAGCCAGTCCCTCCACAGTCATAAAAATGACCCCCCCTCACCCACCCACCCCCCCTGCACACAACTCCTTACACGAGGAGGAGAGGAGAGGGGAGAAAAGAGGAGGAGAGGTGGAGAAATGGAGAGGTGGCGCTCGGCCGGGGGGCGTTTGGGGGTGAGGTTGGCCGGTAGAGGCAGTAGAGTGACGACCGTAACCCTCTCTCTCTCTCTGTTTCTCTTTCTCCCTCCTCCCTCCTCTCCTCGATGTAGGGTATCCCAGCCCTTGCTTGACCGCTGTGTACCAGACTATACCACTTTCACCACTGTGGGGGACTGGCTGGACGCCATCAAGATGAGCCGCTACCGTGACAACTTCGTCAACGCCGGATTTGCTTCCTTTGACCTGGTGGCCCAGATGACAGCAGAGTGAGTGGAGAGGGAGACGAGGCAGCTAATCAGGCCTAACGTGATTGACTGCTCTGAGTTTGAGAGTCAAATTAATGTTATACAGATTGACCTTGAGGGAATAAAAATAGTCTGGTGGCCAAGTGAAACATGATAAGACGTGGAAAGGCGGTTTTGAATAGGCTCAGACGTCAAAGGAATAACAGACGTAAAGCAAACAAAGGAAAGCACATTTTACTATGTCACTATTTATACAATGTGTATTTACTTTTCAGAAATACATTTGTTGTGCTATGGAGATGAATCGTGCTATGATGACTTTTAGTTTTCCTCTTGTGAGTTCCAGTATTTATGTGCACATACTATAGCTCCTAAAGGCTTAAGAAGGAAAACATGAGGTTCACTGGGGGCAGGAGTACGAAAAGAAAAAAGATCCTCCATGCTTTCCCTGTAATTTGGTATGTAATTGACCAATCGGGACAGGTTTGCTGTCGGGGAGGATAATAGATTAAGACTAATAAAACTCACCTGCTTTAGAAGCAAACAAATACTCACACATACAATCGACAAATAAGCAATTCAGTAGCGTAGCACCGTTTTTCAGCACACACCCGTCGCTGCTTCCTTAACGACGATCTCCAGTTGACCTTGACGACTCGCCCACCGTCTGCCGTGTTTACCAACAGGAAATGATGTAATGGAAGTCATGGAAATTGGAGGCCAGTGATGATCAAATAAATGAATTTGGATTATAATGATAAATAAATTATCCTCATTAGCTGCATAATAGGCAATGGAGGTGGGGGTAATTTGTTTCAATTTGGCTGGGCTGACAGGTGTGGTGTACTGTGGCTCTCTGTTGCCCTTAATGGCCAGTAATTCCTCTAATGGTGCCCATTTATTATCATTTCATCCTCCATCGCTGCACTGATGGGGATGGCGAAATATGAAAAAAAAATCCAGAAAAACACTATTTATTTGTGTGAAATTGCGGTGATGCACCCTTATTTGGCTTCGGAGTGGATGGCCGTGCAGCGTGGATTTGTGTGTATGTGTGTGCACATGTTTGCATTTGCTTATGTGTAAGTTTAGGTGCACGCGTTTGCACTAAAATGGATGGGGCCACGAAGCCATTGAGACAAGCAGAGTGTGTGGTGTCTGCGTGTTATATTAGATTAGCCAGTATTTGTGTGTGTGCGTGCGTTGGAGTAAACGGAGAGGACGTAGACTGTGGCAGAGCCCCAACAGCCAGCTAATCGCGGCTCCAGACGCCGTCCGCTCTCTCCTCAGCTATCGACTGGGGAAATCAAACAAGCGAGCGGAAAAGAGAGGTTCTCGTGATATAATTGTACAGCGTTAAACCAACATGGCCATGATGATTAGATTATGCCGTCTGACTAATGACGGCCAAAGCAGGTGCGCTCTCCCAGGCCTGTTTAAGGGTGTAGTAATGTCAATTGTATGTCAACATTTTCACATTTTCCCACTGCACCCTCAACCCGAGGTTAAGGCTCTCTACTTACTCTAAAGATCACACCGTAGCTGCTGTGAGCCCTCGGCTAAAAGACTCATTTACACTTTCCAGTCTTATTTGCTGTATCGAGTATTTTTAAGCGCTGAGGAATGTTGTGCAACAGCGGCCAAGTAAAAGCTGATTTACTGACATATAGACCCATTCTAAGCATGAATGACAGGCTGCTAACTGACTAATCTGTCTAGTATCTTTAAAAAAAAAAAACCTCTGCTTCCCTGTTTCTGTAGCTAAGTGGCAGGCTGGTGTGGACTCTGTGAAGTCTGCCAGCTGCCGAACAGTAGCTAAGTATGCTCTTTAATCATTAACTATCACATTATGGCCCTCTGACTCCCCTCCTCTTGCCCGCCTGCCGAGCAACAGAAGTATGCTGCATTAAAACCAACATTCACTATAGCTGGATGAGTGTCCCCATTTTGTTGACATACCCTCTGGAAGCCATTTTATGGGTGATTGCCAAGGTGCTCGCCTGTCCCTGTTCCCACCTGGTAGAGCGTGTGTTTACTTACGGGTGAAAAGTGAAATCTGCGCTTCAACTTCAGACATGTGATGTTTGTCTGCTTATGTTTGTGTTTTTTGTTTTTTTTTTTTTATGACTGAGCCACCTGTTCTTATTTTCTTCTCCTTTCTTCTCACTCCACAGGGACCTGCTGCGGATAGGGGTAACGTTGGCTGGCCATCAGAAGAAGATTCTTGGTAGCATTCAGGACATGAGACTACAGATGAACCAAACACTTCCTGTCCAGGTGTGAGCGAATGGGACACACAGACCGATGCAGTCGAAGGACAGCCAGACAGGAAAAGGGGGGAGGAACTGTGCCAGAGAGAGCCATTGGAAAACCCTAGCTGCCTGACCCATCTCTGCCAATTAGACGCTATGAAACTGGCTTGCAGTGCCTCTGACTATTTTTTTTTTCTTTATTTCACTACCACTTCCATTTCCTGTTCCTGCTTTTTTTGTTATGCGTCATTGTTTCTTTTTCCATCCAATCAGAATTTGTGTGGTTTTTTTTGAAAGAGGAAGAAAAGTTAACCCCCTTTATATCCCATGCGTGCCTCACCAGCTCTGGTGTGGGTTGACGTTTGCATGCATGTGTGTTTTAGTGAGGTTGGCCTTAGCCCTGTAACTGAAATGTCACACTATAATCCTCACGCAAGAGCCCCTCCCCGTGACCTCTCGACCCAGCTTTGATGGACGTTATACATAGTGAAGAATGAACACCCTGGTGTAAAAAAGGTGGACAAATGTTCACGCAAAAAAAAAAAAAGACCCCGAAACAAAAACACAGAGGTGTTTCAGACCCACAGGAGACAGAGGACTATTCTTCCCCTGATAGAAGTTGTTTTACTGTGCACGTTTGTGTCGTTCTCCATCTTCATATTGAAGGTGTGTTATCTTAAAAGGGCACTTGCTGGAGAAGGGTGAGGTGGTGGAAGAGGATTTATGATGGGCTGGGGTCAAAGGTCAAGAGGATGACAGAGGTCAAATAGGTCAAAAGGAAGGCAGCCACATTTTTGGACACTTGTTTTGGCTGCTGAATCCTCAATAGGTCACCAGATGACCTCTTGCCCCTGACCTGAAGTGACTCAGGATAGCTCCACAGCTTGGGATCACCTGCTCATCAAGTGTGTTTCTACACATGAAAAAAATGTTTTATTTTTGTTTGTCCACACACATTTTTTTCCTTCTTCTTTTTTTTTGGCTTTCTTACACATTTTTTGGGAGATTTGTGGTTTCAAAATGGCCGGTCAAACCTGAGTACCCCCTGTTGGACACTCTCTGTGATTGAGGGGGAGACAAGGACTGTGGCAACACTATAGAAAGACCACTTGGCCTTTTGTGTGCGTTTTTGTATGTGTGCGTGCGCATGTGTGCGTGTATGTGTGATTAAGTGTGCTTGGATGTGCGGGTGTGTCAAGTTGCACACAAGTATACTGTACAATACAGCTTCCGCTATTTGCCACCGTGGAGAATTAACGCATGAACTGAACCGTGACATGGAGCAAATATATCTGAAACAATTACGCTATATTCTGTGGACAACTGTTAAACATCCTTTTTTTATTGAATCCAAAAAAATGAACTTAGGACTTACATATATATATATATATATGAAATTATATATATATATGCACCATGCAGAAACTGAGAGAAACCACGATGGACACCTTACTTTCTACTTACTATTATCTGGATTTAGAAATAATCAAAATTCTTGTTTTAATTTCTTGACATCCTGCCCTATGTATTTATTTGTACCTCGCCCCCCGCCCCCGCCCCCCTCCCACCCCCTCCCACCCCCACCCACCCCCACCAACACCCAGATGGACTGTATTTGGGACAGTGGACTTGGAACAATCAGAAGAAAGCAAAACTGCAAGAGGATTCACCTAATGAATTGATGAATATTACAAAAGAAATTGCATATAAATTGGATATTGTATTTTTGTTGTTGTTCTAAACAGCCTGTACATGTTTTGTAACAAAAATACGATAAATAACAAAAGAAAAATGGTGTTTTGACAAAAATGGAAGTGTTGTTGTGAAATGTTTGATTCAGAGTGATATTAGCAGGAAGCAAAACGAGAAGAGAGACGATGGGGGGAAAAGTCTGCAGGTAGAGAGGAAGAGACGAACAACACCCATGGTTAGACCGCTGGTAGTGACACGTGGCCCTTTTGCTCTCCGTCCATTGTGTGTGAGTGTCTGTGTAGGTGTGTTCAAGTCTGTGTGGGTGCCACCTGAACTGGATATTAAGCTTCCCCAATCCATTTTCATTCTCGACACAAAGAGCATCTGTGAAGCACTGAGCTGTTACTAATCGTCTTTTAGGCACATTTTCTTTCCAACTTTAAACCACTCAGCAGCCTCCCTGTGGTTTACCTATGTTCTAATTTTACTTTTTTACCACCACCTCCAACAACGGGATCCTCCCACCCATCTAATGTTGGACTCTTAAGGGGGAAGGTCAGAGATGATGCAGCCTACTTGCCAATCATTTCAATCACCTCAGCGGCAGAGCGCCATCGCTAGACCTGCGGTTTGCCCCCCCCCCCTGCAACAGGATCCTCATCAGAGGATCCAGAGCTGTCAGGAGAAACCTATTGGTCTTTGTCTGTCAGGTCGATTAATGCAGCAGCCAATCTGGCATTGCGAGGATGCGAGCACGCAGCGAGCGCCGACATACGGCGGGCTGACCTATCATTATCTCTCTTCATTTCCTGTCTGGCCTGCAATCATCCTGTCTCAGCTCGGGCTGCTGCGTGATTAGTACAGTGCAGGATCAACAGCCCTGGCACGCAGACAGCCAAAATCTGCAGACCCCCTCATCCTAAATGATAGCAGCTGCATCACGGAGACCATACTATTTGCACTTCTCACAGAGGGGTGTTTGAAGGTAGCGGATTAAGGGATGGGGCTGCACCACTGGTGTGATCTTCCAGACGGGCTCCATATTGTTTGGGTTGGAGCTGATCAATGCAATATGTGAATATTATTAGTTAGGTGTGTAATGATAGCGTGATGTTAGCGGCCATGCAGTGTCTTTCCATATTACTTTTGTCAGCCTCTTTTAAGTCCCTTCAAAAGCCATGGGGGATATTATGCAAAGCCCTGTTTTATATTGTTTCATCTTATTCTACATAGACTTTTTCACTACTGCTAGTATACTCTGTAAAGGGCTTACTAACCTGTAACAGTTGTAGTACACAGTCCAGTGGTAATTTGACTGTTGTGTGCTCAAACTACACAGGATATAAGCCTCATATCCTTAAATTGTTTTCATCAGTGTCAGTGCAGATTTCTGATACAATGGCTGAGAATCAGAAGCGCAGGTATCGTCAACATGATTTGTTACCATGATAAGAAAGTGTTGAAAGTGCCTGTTAGATGAGCAAACAGTTTCTTTTCTTTCTTGATATCATTCTGCAGAATTATTTTGTTTTCTCCCCAAAGCGAAGCAGCGTTTTGATTGGAACAGAGTAACAGAGCCTACTTTAGGAAATGAGAGAAAAGCAGAATTAATGCAATCAGAAGCTCACTTTTACCCAAAGTCTCCCAGGAACATACAGTATTACTCCCTCCTCCTGCACTCGGCTCATTCATTCAATCAGCTAAGCCCCACTGTTGCAAAGTCGCATGTGGCACCAAAATAAGACACCGTTGATGAGCATCAAAATAGGGAAGGGGGGCATATGGAGGCTAAACACAATCAGATGGCAGACATGCCCACTCGTGAAAAATGGCAGCGCTTTGGAGCTCGCATCAACTATTGATGAGGTGCACATGGTGCGCTGGGGTCTGGAGTTGTGTTCACCAAAGTCAACCGGCCGTGAGTGATGAGCTCGACTGGCACTGTTGCGCATCTTAAAATGATTAAACTGCCACCACATCAACTGCAAACAATTAATCTTTAAGTGGATGTTTCACACATTCATGGGAGTGTTTAATATTTAACATACACAGAGAGGGAAGAAACTCCCTCTTACTGCACGTTGCTGAAATTAAGATGGACTGTTACGTTTGTGTGTGTGTGCGTGCATGTGTGTGTGTATGTGTGTGTGTGTGTGTGAATTACAAGGATTGCCATTTTATACAGAAACACTTTGATCAGCAGAGTTTAGGCTTTTTCAGATGTGGTTATCTCTTTGTGTGCCAATAGGATTCAAACTTTCCCAACATTCCTTCCACCTTTCTCTCCCCGTGTTACATCCCTTACAGATGGTCGGACACACACTTACACACACACACACGCCCTCCTCCGAAAACCCTTTCACTTAGAACTTTCTAACTTTCTTTTCTTTCAGTTGTCTGTTTTAAATAAATACACAGTACTGTCTTTTCTTCTGTCTTCTAACAAGCTCACTCCACATCTGTCTTTTGGTCACTTTTGAACCCCCCCCCCCCTTCCCCTCCACCACCCTCTTCATACGAGGAAGTGAGAGATGTTTCAGAGAGTACTGTACATGTATAGTGAACTGCGAGGGGAGTGAAGCGCTGAGAAATGCAATTGTTAATTCCTCTTTGAAAAAAGCATTAAGATGTATTTAATGGTGCAGACATACACAACAAATTACTAAAAAAAATGATGCATTCTTGTAGAAATATTTTTAAAAGACCCTTTTGCAATTAAATTATTTAAGAAATGTGACCTGATCTCTAGTCTTTATGTTGTTCCTCCATGTGCTCTCCAGATGAGTAATTGCCCATGACACATTCACTCTCACTGCTTATCATTTATGGCTGTCTCTTGCTCTTATAATCATTACCAGAACTTCATGCAGTTTTCCAGCAGTAACATTTCGTGTTGAAAAAGAAGCACAAAAGCCCCAGTTCAGATAAATATACCACACTCCCAGACTTTACCTGCATATTTCTATAAATGTTCTCAGTATACCTGTAAGCAGGAGTTGTTCATCTTTCCAAAGCTCTCTGATTTGATGTTTGTGTTTCAGACAGGTTTAGACTGCATTTTTCCGCTTGCCTTGGAAAAGCCTGAGGACATTCAGAGTAACACCGTCTATAAAAATATTTTTTGTAATGCTGTCTTTCATCTTTATAGCTACAGGCACCTGATGAATGGATATTGATCCTTGGGAGAAGTTACCCAGAGTTCATCTATTTCTAATGCTCCATTAGTTGCTAAGCTCCTTGCCATTATTGCAGTTAAAGACCACTATCCTTTGCCAAATTTAGCCGCGAAAAAGGTGGAGTTAAATTGCAGGTATATGGAATTGTGCTGGGATAACTCCAAATCTCATAAAATTTCACAAACTCAGTGGGGGTTGATTTTCTCTCGGACACTGGAGTTTTCAAGGCATGTCACTATCAAATCAAAAAGTTTGCGATCCACAGATCCATGCAACACTAGAGCTCCCCATATTGTCTTTCAAGCCTACTAATTTATACAAGCTCCTCTCATCTCTGCAGGCTCTGAGCCAACAGTCTTGTTTTCTAGCAACAAAAAAAAAAAAAAAAAAGGGAAAGATGCTCAGATCATAGATTCTACCTTATCCACCCCTCGCCTTGTCCCCTGGCTCCCCTCTTCTCCCTTTCCCTGTCCAATTAAATACAGAGCCTTGGAACGGGTGGTCTCGGTGTCTGGGTAGAGCAGATATTTTTGAAACACTCCCCCCTCTAGATGCGCTCGGAGAAGTTTCAACAGAGGATTATGTGGGTTTCTTTTTGTGTTGAAGCAGGCAGAATAAATTTCATCTCAGATCTCCCCAACTTCTACAGCGTCTCGTTCCCCACTGTTGTTGTCACATGATGGACCAGCAGCTTTTCATGCACAAATAATCTGCATTTTCTTGGCAACACTTTGGCAGAGGAAACTTAAAAGCCTCATGTACAGAAACAAAAATTAACTACTACATTTGATGTATCCGGAGGCAAACTGGGGGCCATATCATCAGTTTTGAGTTGTTTTGACTGGCCCAGATCGCGGCTGCTCCTTCAGCACTCGATACATAGTATAATCTGTCAGTTTGAGGTAAATATGGCCCGATGCCAAGATGAACTACTGCACTGTATACTTTCCTACAACTATTGACATAGTGTCGCATTACTCCAAGCTGGAGAATATTGATTGTGTGCAGGCCATTTTCATCAAAATATGCCATATAATGTGAGGGGGAATTATTGAGACGTCAATTAAGATCAATTTCTTATCCCTGCTCGGTCAGTGAGGCGGCATTAGCATAAATATCGCAATGCATTAGCATGTCTTAGCCACATGTCGGTCAGGACGGGGATCAATGCAAAACATGAACACACAGCAAAGGGGGAAAAAGAAAAAGAAATCCGCTCCCTTAAACCCTCCTTACCCACTCCTTCCCCTCATTTCCAAAGCCAAACTCCGTCTCCCTTTATTCTCTCTTATTCCCCACAGACGATCCCTCACTCTCCCCCTCTTACGAGCTCCCCGCTAACACTCCCCCCCACACCCGTTGTCTGTCTACTTTTTCATCCTCTCCCATCTCTTCTGCCATAATCCCTCTCTTTTACTTTAGCTTGGCACAGCTAATTGGTCACGTCTGTACTGTGACATGGGGACCTGACATAATTGCTGGACAAATAGTGAGGCATTTAGCTTCGGACCTGTCTCAGCTAAGCTGTACACAGACACCAGCCGACTGGAAAGCCTAATTACCACTCCAACCCCGCAACTTGCTAATTGGCAAATACTTCCAACAAAGAACTGTGTGTGTGTGTGTGTGTGTGTGTGTGTGTGTGTGAGTGTGTGTGTCTGCACCTTTGTTTCCTTCCCTCAGTTAAGGGTCCTCTGAAACAAACAACAAAATAAGCAATATGCGTGATATGAGTCATCAGAGAGATTTGCCAGCAAAACCCAAAATCATTAATTTCCTTAAATTTCATTTCCAGCGGTCATCTGTGAAGTGTCAGTATCTGTGTGTGGTACGTCACATTCCTTGTTTTTGCTGTACTGTTTTGTTGTTCGTCATGACAATGCTAATTAAATGTCCTGTTTGATTAGTTAAGCTCTTTCCAGACTTTCCTCCACACACACTATGCTTTTGTTTATTTCTCTCCTTTTTTTTTTTTTTTTTTTTTTAATACCGCTCCTCAACACCCCCACACCATCTTTCCAACACATGCACTCTCTTGCAGACCTGATTGAAGTGATTATCACTTTCCGGGGTTTTTTGGCATTTGATTAATTCCTGTTACACGAACAATACATTCATTATGTTGCACCGATTTCGGCATGTTTCCCCGTTTATTTATCTTGGCCTTTTAGCCAGTCGTGACTACAAATAAATGAATTTAAAAGTAGCTCTTAGTTGGCATTTTCATCACATACTGTAACTGCCATCAGGCATTTTGAGTATTGTGCAAAACATAGGAATGCTCAAGCTTTAATAGTTTATAAATACATATTTTCATAGTAGAAGAATGAGCTTTTCACTTCGTCCAATGCTCCTGATGATCGCTTCCATTCATGGGAACATCACAATAGATTATCCTATTGCAAAACCCCTGAAATATTTGACCACCCGCTCACATCGCCCCCTTCCCCAAAAATGGGGAACCGACCTTTTAATGCCCCAGAACAAGCATCCTATTGTTGGGTGTTTGGGTGCAGCTGCATGGTCTTTCTTTCTGATGAGTTGAGTATGTCTGCCAGGGGAAACAATATTCGACAGGACTGCGCCCGGGAGCCGTGGGGTGACCTGGAGTTCACGGTCAAAGCTGGACAGTTGGTGGGAATTTGTCACATGTGAGAGGCATGGCAGCCTTCAGGTACCACGAGGCCATTGAACAAGCACATGAAAAATGCCGCTGTGGGAAGATAAGATGTCCTCATGGCTGCAGTTATCAAGATAGAGCCCTAATATACTGTAAACAGAACGCAATACAAGTACCATGATGCATAAATCACATGGCTTAGCATGAAACCGCTCTGACGGAGGGGGGCTGCTGCTCAGGGGAATAGAGCTCACACATACAGCAATGCATACATGATGATCGGTGAGATAATGATTCTACTTTCTTCCAGCCCCCTGCTGTGCTCACGTCCTCATCATGGTTCAGCAGATGTCTAGCAGGCTTGTGTTTGTGTGTCTTTCGGGGAGTTTTATGCACTGCCATGTTTGCAAAGGGCTTCAGGCATGTTTACTTTACAGAAAAAAAAAACACTACAGTGTCATTACGCTAACCAAAAACATAAATGACCTCAATATGGAAACATTAATCCGTACCTACTTGAGTTTTATTGATAGGTTTTAGACTCTAAGCTCAAGGATGGGCGTCAACTTGTATGTGCAGAGCAGTCGATAGGAGACAAACATAAAAGATAATCTTTTAATCAGCTAATTGACCTGCCTGCAGGAGCCCTTTGTTTACTACGTCTGTCTGAACCTGTTACCGGAAAAAAAAAAATGGTCGTACCGAACGAGAATTAACAATAATCATTCTCAGTTTAGCTGACGTAATTATGAAGAATAATATCCCAACAAGCATCTGCTGGTCACTATTTCTTTGATGTGAATAATCCAGCTGCACCATCGATAATCTTGCTCACCAACTAAAGATAATTAATAGCTTGTGCTTTGTGCTTTGCACACATGAAAGACAGTCATGACATTGCCGAGTCGAGGTCATTTTTCCCCTCCATTGGTGTCATCGGTAGGCATGAAGGGAAGGGCCTTGTTCTTGCCTGACATCTCATTAACTGCTTGTCGATATTTATCAGTCTTAATCAGAGCTGTGGCAGGTCTGGTGTGATTACTTCCTGGGTGTGAAAGCAATCACACCTCGTCCTCCCCACTGTCCTTGATTTACGGAGGGGAAAAAAAAACAGTCTGGCGTGTTTGAGGAAGTTTGAGAGGGCCATGGAAAAAGAAGATGGAATTGAAAAGAGCGCATTCCCAGCTTCGGCCTTATCTCTCCTTATTGCAGCCGTACTGCACAAGATAAAATACATCAGCGCCCAAGCTTGGCAATAAAGACGGACTATTTGTTGTCTCTCTTGAAAAATCAGTAAAGGGTTGTGTTATTGTGTATCCACAACAAACGAGGGGGGTTTAGAAAACTGTTCAGAAATGTTTCGCATTACTGTGCCACAGGAATTTTTCGATTACAGTCGGAATGGAAAGAATATGGGATTATTGCCATGACCGCTTGTCCCCATCAAAACACATATTTATTTCATCTGTGAAATCAACATATGGCTAACTTGAGAGTGAGTTCTGAAATGATTATAAGCATCAGTTCCGCTATCGTCATTAAATGAAAACAGATCACAAACGACAGTAGTTATTTCAATATTTTTGACACATCTCATCACCTTGGAACTATGTCACACAAGGGTAAGAAAATAAGTGCAGCAGGGTGAAATCTCTCATAAACAGAAAAACAGAAATAATAATATCAATAATAGATTTAAAAAATGCTAAAAAACCTCAACTCCCTTGTGAATTAAATACGCCAGGGGAAATTTGCCCTTGATAATTACTGCAATACTAAAAGGATTCATCCTGCAGGCCACCCAAGGAGATATGTCGACGCCAATTTGTGACCAATTCGTTCCTGTGCCTTTTCCAGGCAAAATATTGAACCGTTTTGATCACAGAACACCCAAACATGCAGCCTAAGGCAGCAGAAAATGCTGTCATCACACAATCAA